CGTTACACTGCTCGATTTTTCATTATAATACTTAATATGAATTATAATATTATATATAATAAATTAATATTTAAATTAATTAAATTATATTATATATAATAATATTAAATATTAAATATAAGTTTCTGAAAATTTTTTCAAAAAAATTAAGCATAAAAGAATATAGTCATAAAGCATAAAAGAAATTATTTTTATTCACCAATTCTTTTATTTATATGCTTTATGTGAATGTTATTCTAATCACTTAATATTAAATTTTACCTTGAACTGTAACTTACCAATGTTTCATAGCAATTTACATAATTTCATCTAATCAGTCTTCCACGAACTGCTTTAGCGATCAGCTGTATTTTAACAACCTCCAATACTATGTTTAAGTATACTTAGATCATTATAATTTCAAGTGATTCTAAAATCCTTTTTGAAATAATGTTACGCATGGTTATTCGTGTTACCAGCATTGTTTTTGAATTTTGAAGAAGAATAGTGGAGAAAATCGGGTGAAAGTAGTAAAATTCCTCGACAATGCTTATTCTTTGATTTTATATACGATCTGTAACCGATCTTTGTCGATCTGCTCTCATTACTTTTTATATAGATGAAACGAGATCCTTCGGATTAGTAAAATTTTTAGGTCACCGATCTTGCATTTCAAAGTGAGACAGTTCCATTACATTTATACTTCGCTTTATCTAAAATTAATCTCAAAATTAGATTATTCATAATTTGAAAAATAACTTTCATATTTATTTCAATTTCTAGAATCATTGTTTAAATTTTCTATTTTATTTGAATATCCTATATATACATACAAGAAATTAAAGAACACATATATACTACAGATCATGTATTCTAACATTAAGTATACATGATTTTTAGAATATTTAAAATTTTTACAATTTTCAATCCACTTCTATTAATATTCAGGGGACATAAATTCCCTTAATTCCGCAGGATATTCCAGGCATCATTTTAAGACGTTTCAGGTCATGGCATCGATAACCTTTTTCTGTCCCAGAACGCGAAGGGTTAATTGCTTCTTGCACGCTTGCTTCGTAAACGTTCCGTGTCGTCTGGATCGACTTTAAACTTTGCCGATCGCGATGCGACTGACGGGTAAAGAAAGAAGTTTGAGAGGAACGTCCGTGAACCTGGGAGAAAGTGCAACCCATCGAAATTGGCGGGATTTCGATGCGAATTCGAGCGATCCGCCGCTTTCCCCAGCTATGTTTGTTTGCTTTGCTCAAAGAGAACGAAACTGGGGGAATGGACACGGCTACGAGGTCTAAATTAAGTGGGATAAAAATGAATGAACTCTGTGGAATACGTGAAAGCAATAATCCCCGGACGTATGGTGTTAAGCCTGACAATATCGCGCGACGGCTCTCGGTTTTTGGATCAGTTTCAAACGTTTTATGGCGAAATGAACTGTTTGGTTGGTTGAAAGATTCATATTTTTCATCACGTTGTTCTTCTTTCTTTTTCTCTCTCTTTTTACGAAGAGTACATAAAAAGATAATATTGTAATTTATGAGAAAGAAAGTGGAATAATTTATGAGAAAAAGTGGAAATATAGATTATGATTGATCATATATGATATGATAATCAATCTCTTTAGGATTCATATGACAAATATGATTTTGAAGTTTAAAATTAAAATTTTTTTAAAAATTTTTAATAAGTTCATCATTTTGATTATGATTATGATATTTGAAATAGAATTATGTACCAAAGAATTTAAAAAATGTGTATAATTAATATAGATTTAATATTTTTATTATGTAATATTATCTATAATTAATATTATGTAATATTAAAGATTTATTTAAATGAAAAAATTTCATTTAATATAAGTGCAACTTTCTTAGAAAAAAAGAGAAACATAGAAATATAAAATATTTTTTCATTAGTTTTTGTAAAATGTACATAATAATTGCTAATTAATTTAATTGCTAGTATAAACTATATATTTTTTTTCCTTCAAATATAATAAAGAAATATTTTTCTAATTTTTATATTATTTTTATATTTTAATACTCAAATACATGAATATAATTATAATAAAATATTTATTCATAATATATTCTGATATATTCTGATTAATTTCTATAAAAAGAATTTTCAATAATTGAAAAATGATTCATTAAATATCAATATTTTATATCCGAAATATTTGTTCGAAGAATTTTCATGTTCGCAAGATATGAATTTATTTTTAGCGCAAGTAATTGTGAGTGACATTCGTGACATTATATTTCTCTACATGAGGATGTTACATGATAACGACGCACTGCCCACGTTTCGTTATATAACAAATTATAATCTAAACACTATATTGATTATCATTATAATGTGATAGTATCAAATATTTTTTTGTTCTTGTATTTGTACGTACATATATATTATATTTGGTATGTATGTATGAATATTATCTAAATTTTCTATATTATAAATAAGAAAGTTTTTGTACTTTTAAAGGATTATAAATATTAATGGATATTATGAAATATAGTTGTTAAAATGATACATATGATTTTTTTTCTTAAATAAAATCATATCATTTTAATGAATGCATTAAAATTAGTTAAGATATAAATGATTATATCTTAACTTAATGTAATAAAAAATTATATGCACCCATATAAAAGAATATATATAACCTTCATCTTAATACCTATAAGTGTGAAAAAACAATCAATTTTTTTATATCAGATAATTTATAATAACTTTATTAAAAAATTTTAATTTTATATTGATCTCATCATATTAGTATTTCATTAATTTTATATTTCTTTTTTATAACGATTTCATTATTTAATTTTATATTTATTTTATAAATATTACAATCCCAATAGTATAAATTTCCTCTTAAATTTCGCGCATGATATATTAAAAATCATAGTTTATGTATTATTTTTTCTCTTTTCAAATTTTACAATTGTAATTTTTGTATTACAAACGTGCAAATTTCTGTATTATGTATATTTCTAATATATGTGATTTTAATCATTTAATATGATTTAATACAAAGAAAAACGAAATAAAAAATAGTAGAATAAATTTATACTTTATATATGTATAAAACATAATTCTATAATTCTATTAAAATGTGTATTATATGTATTATGTATATTATATGGCTTGTTATATAATGAATTATTAAATATTGAACCGAAGAATATTGTGACAACTTGTACAGACTTGTACCGATCGAAGGAAACAATCACATTGATTTTGTATACAAAAAAATATCGATTAAGTGTATCATTATTCACACAGTAAATCACTCTCCTATCATCTAAACAAACATTATATTTTATAGATTATATGCAGTCTAATAATTTTAAATCACTTCATAATATCATTGCAAAAAAAAAAAGAAAAAATTTAAAAGATTAAGAACATCTTTTTAAGAATTGCAAACATTTGCATTACATCTTATTACTCAATTCTTTGCAATCTGAGTTTTCATTCTTCTATTAAATATTTTATCTAAAATCATATCTTGACAGATTTACAATTGATATATCTGGAAAATCTTTCTAAAAGCAAAAATTTCAATATATTTTATTTGCAGATATTCATACTTTAAAATTAAACATAGTATTAGTTATTTCAATATTTACCCCGATTAAATTGAAGTAAAAACTAACAATGAAATTTCTTTAATAAAGATTTTAAATAAATGCACAAAAATGAAAATCATTTAATCTAATTTATTTTATAATTTCAAGATATTTAAAATTTCTATGCAAATGAATTAAATATTAAACCTTTTAAAAGATTTAATATTTAAATCTTTATTATTTTTAATTTTTATGCAAATTCTTAAATAAAAAATGTTCAAAAAATCATTCTAAACAAATATCCAAAATCTTAACAATAAACTTGTCTTTTTATCTCTGATTATTTTTATTATAGGAGGACGCGGATGATTGCCAAAAGAGACCGGAAAGATCCTTGTCTGAGGAGTGTCGCGTGTCTCACGGACCGGTAGGCGTCGGCGTGGAAGGTGTCGGCTCGTGGAGGGCTCAACGGCGCCCTCACAATAT